GCACCATCAGGAACAATCATCAGACGATAATACACAGCTCCCAGAGTTCCAATGTCGCTAGCAAGGTTCAAACAGGTAAAAAACTGGCACATCAGGAAGCAGATCATGCCCAACCCTTGAACCAAACGAATCGCCACCGCGCTCCCCCCCCCCCCCCCCCCTCTCCCCTCCTTAAACAGTTCGCAGTCCGTCCCACCGACAGCAAGACAGAACATGGCACGGCCGGCGTGCATTAGTAGGCTCTGTTTTGGGCCCGATACTGGTTCATAATGGCACACTTACGGCAAACAACACTCACGTCCGGTGACCTTGCATCCAAGTAAAGCTCTTATCTACGGCAGCCAGGTGGCAGAAATGTCGTCGGGTCGGCCGCGACATTTCGGCCTTGTCCGGCCGGCTCAGACCAGCAGCACCGTATCCACGACAGCACCGTCTTCGGGGGGGGGGGGGGAGGGGGAGCACAGAGTCGCAGGAGCACCAGACGGCATGTGAGCTCCAGCCGCCGCTCGCAGCTGCGCGCCACGCGCCGCGCTTTCCAGCGTCAGAAGCGCCGCCACCGTCTGGCGCACTGGCGGCGGCGTCTGCCCCGGAGCAGCGCCCTCTCCGGCACAGTCCGGCGCCGCTGGCAGCTCGCCGGTAGACGGCGCCGCCGCCAGATGGGGCGCGGCGCGCGTCTTCTCCCAGCCGGTTTTATCCGGTGACTAGCGGCGCAGCCTGCCGTGCAGGTGCTCGCGCAGCAGCAGCGCGCCTAGCAGGAAGCAGGTGAAGGAGAGAGCCAGCACGAGGCCCCACAGCAGAGAGCGGGGCATCACCACCAGCCGGCGGACGGACGGTCGGACGGCTCGCGGCGCCGGCGCCGGTGTCGGCTCCGAGGCCGCTGACGTGCGGAACAGCTCTGGCCGCAGCTCCTGCTCGCTGTGCCGACGCCGCCGCTTCCAGAGGCCGTCCATGGCGGCTTACGCGCCTTAGTCAGCGCCTGAGGATGGCATGGAATGTCAGTGCCCAGTCTGTCCATGTCCACATGGACAGATCTCAGCAGTTCATGATAAGCATTGATCGAAGTTGATTGTTGTGCAGTGGCCAACACATGCAGATTGTTACTGGGCATGCCCTCATTTTACATTATTATCATCATCTTTGATAAGAGAATCAATCTTGAAGATAGATTCCCTTGATTATCTTGCACTAAGTCTTGAGCACATGGTATATATCTGTGCATACACTTCTCTTGATATATGTATATACACATGGTAGAGCTAAGGAAACACAGTATCATGATATACAAATATTTTTATGGAATCTCAAACTAATGTGGTAAAAGGGAGGATAACAACTTGCTCAGATGCAAAAGTAATATACATGTGTGGCCATTAGCTCATCTATGGGAGGTGTTTATTCAGAGGATGTTGAATATATTCATTTTCATATTTCAATACAAATGATCATGACTTTATGTTTTTGTATGGTTCCAGGGTTTTGATTTTGGTTATCAGGGCCCAAGTCCTCATTCTTAGGATCCTGCTATTCACAGGACTACAATATGTTTGCACCTAATTGGGACCTGTGAATTTGAATCCCTTGCACTAGTGACATCCCCCACATGCAACATCCTTTGTCTCCTAATTGAGCTAGACATGCAAAATGAATAACAGACATGTAACTTATTATGACAAAATAAATGAAGAGCACCTAGCTTAAGACAAAGAAGGCTTTTTTTAAAATAGCATGATTTTAAACTAAACCTGTCCATCATGTTATCCCATCCAGCATCCCTTCTTCTTGTTTATTTTTTATAGGTCAAAGGGCCTGGCACTAGGCATGGACCACAGTATGACATGTCATTGCACAAGGGCAATATCTCTGATCATATTTGGCTTGGTTGTGACCCTTCAATCCAAGAGGGACATGGGACTAAGACATTCCCTGGATAGCCAAAGTGTGGTGGAAGATGCCATTTTCTTGGATTTTCAGAAAACATAGATTGCTTTCACTAAAAAACATTGTTGAATGCAACATCTAATATAATTTAGTGGGGTTCAACAATATTTTTAACATTGAGGCATTTCACTGTATACCCAAAACTAGCACTGAATGCTCAGCCATAAGCACACAACTGTGCTCTGGATCTGCCCTTCCCCTGGATGCAACTTTATTAATTCAGACAGGATCCCAGCTTATGTAATACCTTAAAGTGGTGATTTCAGCATTTAACTAATAAGCTATAATAGTATGTACAGTATATGCATCAACATCAGTCACCCCAGCAAGCAAGTCATACAGAATATTTATTTAAATTGCCACACATCTGCCGGGCTCTGTTACCTTTGTTCCTCACCAAACAAAATGGATAACAATAGATATAATGTAAATGCCCAAAAGCTTTCCTTCACTTCGTATTATTCTATAAAATGAAAAAGACTGTGCATCACTAGCGTAGGTCCCGCAGTTCCTAAAACGGCTTGAATTGGCCATAGTTAGCATGCAACCCAACAAAAGTGGTATCATTTCATGCACCGCATATTCATGAATATTGCCCTCATCTTGTTTAGCACTGTGTCATATAACACCGATGAATGGTTGTTTGCCTTACCCCCGCCAATCACCGAAATCACATCAACCCACCAAAAAAACCCGATGTGAGGCTGCCAGCTGATAATGTGGTGAGAGTAAACGCCGTAACGCTTACAGCTGACGATATTGTGATGTCACAAAACCACCGCCGGTCTGGCGAGCTCCACCGGGACTGGAACTATGCGGGGCCGGATGGAACCGGACGAGATGATAGACCCAGATAGGACCGGACGGAACCGGAAGGGGCCTGACCACATCGGACAGAATCAGACGGTACCAGGCGTGACCGAAAGGAACCGGTAAGAACAGAACGGGGCCATGCAGCCGACCAGAGCGGGATCATACAACCGGACGGAACCGGAACCGGATCAGGACAGAACCGGATGGTACGTCGTGAGGCAAGACGGACGTTGCGGGACCAGGTCAAAGTCCAAACCAAATGGGACCAGCCAGAGCCGGATGGAATTGGATGCGGCCTGATGGGACCAGATGGGGCCGGACGGAGCCGGACAGGACCAGTCAAGATCAGATGGGATCCAACGGCACCGGACGTGACCAGACGGAGCCGGATGAAACAGAACTGGGTCTGAAGAGATCGGGAGCGACCGGACGGGACCGATCTGGACTTAACCGAACCGAATAGGACCAGATGTGACTGGACGGGATCGGATGGAATCTGACGGCACAGGATGTACCGAATGGGGCTGGACGTTACAGAACAGGACCAGATAGAACAGGATGAAACGTGATTAGGCCAGCCGGTGCCGGATAAAACAATTCGGAATTAGACAGGATCGGACTGTACCGGATGGGGCTAGACCAGGCCTGATGGGATCGGATGGAACCAGACGAGACCCGGGATCGGTCTGGACTGGACGGAGCGTGACGGGTCCAGACAGACAGGACATGACGCGATGGGACGGGATCGGACGGCAAGGGACGTCCCCAAAAGGAACCGAGCTGGACCGAACGGAACAGAACGGACTGGACGGAACCAGACCGAGCCCGCCTGACCCCATCTGGTGCCATCTGGCCTTGGTTGGTTCTATCTGGTCCTGTTCAGGATCGTCTGGCCCCGTTCAGCCCTGTCTGACTTGGCTTGATCTAATCCGGTGCCGTCCAGCCCGTCCTGTCCCATACTGTCCTGTCTCGTCCCATCGCGTCAGGTCAGGTGCGGCACGGTCCAGTCCTGTGTCGCCTCGCCCGGTCCAGACCGGTCACTTACGGTCATGCCGTCTGGGCTCATAAGCGCTCCATCTGGCGCCGTTCGATTTCGTCTGGTCCCGTTCTGTCCTGTCCGGTTTCTATCGGCCACGCCCAATGGCGTCCGATATCGTCTGATCCCGTCCGGTCTGACTCGGCAATTCGAGAGTCGCTATCTCGCATCCAGTCTATTTAGGCCATCCAGCTCATCCCATGCACCCATTCCATTCAGTCCGTCCAATCCGTCCAATCCGCCCAGTCTGTTCAGTCCGTCTGTCCGTCCGGCCGGACCCTCCCAGCCCACCCGGCCGACCCGGCCCGCCCGGTTCGTCTAGTGCCATCCGGTCCCGTCTGGTCTCATTGTGTTCCAATCCGGCTCCATCGTGTCCGTCTGATACAGTTCGGCTTTGTTCAGTTCCGTCTGATTCCGTTTGGTTCCGTTCCGTGTCGTCCGGTCCCGTGTGGTCCAGTGTGGAACTGTCATAAGGTTGGCAATGGTTTTGTGGTTTCGTGACGTCAGATGACAATCAGCTGAAAGAGTTCGCAATCTTCCCTGTCTTGCCAATTTAGCTATAGCCCGCACCGCAGATTTTCGCGTCAGTTGATGCAAACTGTGCAGGTGACGGTTGTGCCTTAACACTATTATTTGCAATTAGACGGTCCACAAGTGCTTGTAAAGGCGCTTTGGGTACTTGAAACTATCTTTGGCAACCACCGACATCAATATTGTAAGGGTTTCACACTAGATACAGTTGATTCGCACCATTTAGGAAGTGCAATGCTTCCGATGGCGGTACCACATAATTCACCCATAGAGTTCATGAACGGACCCAACTCATCGAACCATTCTTCCGGCTTCACGATCCACGATTCGCGTGAGCAATATTTTGTCGCTATAACGCAATAAATGGCAACAAGGAAAGGCGACAGATATGGTAGCACGTCAACCACAAAGTGAAGGACAAAAGAAAGCAAATGGAAAAAGTTATACCCATAGGTGTGCTTTTTTGTTGATAATTTTCATAATACAGACCATGTAAAGTATCTAGGCATAAATTGTACTTTAAGGTCATTATACCACCTTGAAGGTATTCATACATGAACCACTGAGATTATTATTTCCTTCCGGAGAGCAAAGGTTTTCCTTGTACCACCTTTAGTGGTATCCTGCCGTGTTCGATCCTCATATGACGCGGCACCGACGGTGCCTTGTGCACGATGCAAGATCTCGTGGCGGAACTGTTTGTCCGGAAGCGTGGATGAGGGCGGTGGGGCGTTGGTGTGTGCTGCGTCCGCTCCACGTTCTCGTGTACGTTGGGCGTGAGGCGGGTCGGACGAGTGTGGCGTGTTTTATTGTCAGTGCTGTGTAAAGCTGACCTTTATTATGTCGATGGCGTTCCTTGACGTAGCTAATTATTTCAGGTTAAATGCAATTTTCATTTGACGAATTCGCAAAAGTCTTAACAAGGTTTTTTAGGTTCATTTAGTGCATCCAATGGGTGCGAAAACTATTCATTGGTGTTGGTCGTGAGAACTTGAGCAAAATTATGGCAAGGTTTAGAAATAATTGAATAATGCTAAATAAACTGAATCATGTTTTGAAAGGATTAGACATATCAAGCAGTTCTATTTGTATTTTTCCTAGAATGAGCTAAAAATGTGTCTTCAAAGCAGTTTTCAAATCCATTGAGCTTGATGAACCTGGTAACATAGCCACTGTTTTCATCACCTTAAAGGTGCAACCTGCAAGCTTCTGTCATGTTTTAAGCAATACTTTTATGTGAGACAGCTGCTTTTGGGGTGGCTTGCCCAAGTGGCAAAGAACTGTGCCAAAATTTTTAATTTCAGTGACATTTTCCCAACAAAGTCTTTCATGAAATTGTGAGATGAAAGCCCTGATGAATCAGTTCACCTGACCATTCATTGAGTGCTGCCTGAAGAATGAGTTAAATCACATATATTCATCTAGTTTTGTATCTACATTGATTTATATGCTATACTGGTTTTTGGTGTGATGTATCCTGTTTAGTCATTGATGTATGTTTAACATGGCTTCCATGACTTAATATTTTGAAATGAAAATTGCATTGATTCTGATGGGTATATGTGGAGTTTCACTCTGGAGAGGCCTAAATTTAAATCATCATTTAACTCAGATGTAAGGTGCCATAGACACCCAAAAATAATTTGTTGAACATCATCACATGTCCTTGATGTTCTTTTTGTGTCTGCAGGGAATTTGGAACTGTTAACATTTCATCATGTGGCATGTGCATATTGTTGGCTGTCATGAAGTCGGTTAGGAATGGGGCTGGTGTCTTTGAGGCACTATGTAGTTATGTCTCTGTTGATTATTCCATGTTAAATTGATCAATATTTTTAGAGTTGCTCCCTCTCATTAAAAGGGGCATTACATGCCCAACATTTCCTCTCACTTCTCTGCTGTCAGGCTGTCAACATGTGCAGCATAGATGAGGGTGACCTGGAGGATATCCGGTCCAAGGAGGAGGCAGACCGGCTGAAATCATCAGCTGTAACCCCCAGTGGCAGACCGATGCTCTGCCAGAAGTGCCGCGAGGAGCCGGCTGTCCTTCTACTGCGCGTCAACGACATCTACTGCCGCGGCTGCTTCCTGGCGGCCGTCACACACAAGTTCCGCTCGACGCTGGGCAAGTCCCGCCTGCTGAAGCCCGGCGAGCGCGCGCTGCTGGCCTTCTCCGGCGGCCCGGCCTCGTGCGTGCTGGCGCGCCTGCTGCGCGACGGCCTGGACCAGCCGGGCAGCAGGCAGCTGCGTCTGCAGCCCCACCTGCTGCACGTGGACGAGTCGACACTGCTGGCGGGCGCGGCGCCGGCGTCGGTGCTGCAGCTGGCCGCCGAGTACGACGTGCCCGTGTACCGGGCCGCGCTGGAGTGGGTGCTGACGCCCGACGGCGCACCCGTGGCTGAGCCCGTCCACCTGCCGCCGGAGCGGGTGACGCACGCCGCCTTCTCCAGTCCGGACGTCTCTCAGGGGGAGACGCCGCAGACGGCGACTCTGGATGGCGCGCAGCAGAAGACGGCGTCAACGGCCGGCGTGGGCGGAGAGACGCCGGCCGACTCGGAGCAGCTGCGCCAGCGGCTCCTCCAGCTTTGGGAGGCCGCCGGATCGACCACGGCGCGCGAGCAGCTGCTGGCACGGCTGCGCGGTGAGCTGCTGGCGCGCGCCGCGCGACAGCTGGACTGCCACCTGTTGCTGCTGGCCGAAACCGAAACGCGGCTGGCTGTTCGGCTGCTGGCCGACCTGGCCGGCGGTCGCGGCGCACACGCGCACCAGCTGACCGCGCTAGCCGACGAGCGGCACAGCGGCCTCCTGCTGCTGCGGCCGCTGCGCGAGCTGTCCGCCAAACAGGTAGCGCTGTTCGCGCACCACCGCGGCGTCCCGTTCGTGGCCGGCGGCGGGCTGGACACGCTCACGCCGGCCGACGCCAGCGTCGACCGCGCCACCGAGGCGTTCGTACAGGGTCTGCAGGCCGACTTCCCGGCCACCGTGTCGACAGTGTACCGGACCGGCACGAAGCTGGCGGCAGTGGGCGCGCTCGCGGCCGACTGCGCCCTCTGTCGGCTGCCGCTGGACACGGGCGGCGGCGCCGCGTCGGCTCTGCAGGCCACACGCTTTTCTCAGCTGGTCTCCGCCTCGGGCCCAGCCACTTTCGACCCTGGCCAGCTCGCCAGCGCCGCCGCGGTTGGCACCACCCTGCCATCTGTCGGTGCTGAGGGAAGCTCTAGTTTGGAAGACTCACGCTGTAGCGGTGAAGCGTGTTGCGGGGAGGAATGCGGCTCGTCCGGATCCTGTGTCCGGGGAGGTGTTGCGCGCCCAGCTGTTGAGCTGTTTGTGCTACGGGTGTCAGCTGATGGTCAGGGACATGTCTGATGTGGGTGATCTGCCGCCGTTCGTGTGGAACGAGGTGACCTCCAGGAGCCGATTGGAGAGGATGCGCGCGGAGATACAGGACTTCCTCATCGACGACAGCTGAAGCAAAATGGCCCCGTGTTGGTGCTTGATGTGTGGTATACTGAGGTGATGCACCGTCAGTGACAGATGCTGTGATGCACAGTTTTGTCCGTCATATTTCGCAGACTGTCAATAACAATTGTCGAGACCTGTGTACCTTTATGGGGATCTGATGCGAAAGCTCACACCCTTTTGTCCGGTGTTTTCCCTCGTTTGTGTTGTGACAGCATCGAGGTGATTATCCCTGTGGATGTGATGGTTGCTGTCGGGCTAAGCCCCGATTTTGGTTGTCTCCAAAATGAACGGTTTGAGTGCTGAAAAGGCGCCAAAGTGAAGGGGGCAGCGGCTATTTGCCCATCACGTAACAGCCTATTGCGGATTACACACATTACGAGGAAGCAAACACGTTTCCTCTAAAGCGTTTAGCTGCACAGCTCAAAAGTATCCACTTCACTATCTCGCTTTCAATCTACCGTCTAGAGCGTTGGGCTAGACTGGGCGCGTCGTTACGGTGTCGGCATCTGCCATGGTAATATCAACACACGTGCATCGCTTAAACGTGGCTGAAAACCACGAAACGTCACGCGAGCTAGGTAGCGCAGATTTAAACGATTAAATCGCACTGGCTCGAATAAGAGCCCTTTCGGTCTGTTGCGACCATTTCAGGGTTATGTGATGAAGAAGCGTGGTTCATAGTGGGAAAAACCACATGCTCCTGGGTTTACAATCACCAAGACTTACCCGCACGGGGGCCCCTTCCCCTAATGGCACTTGGGCCACAGATGGCCTAAATCTTCAAGTTCAACTTAAAAGTAAAAAAGTGACCTTTGGAAATAAGTCTATAAAATAAGGAAATAAGAAATGAGCCGATATATATATATATATATATATATATATATATATATATATATATATATATATATATATATATATCAGTCGGCTGGACCATTCCGGCGAAAGATATTTTATCAGTTAAAAGATAGAATCTGGAAATAAAGTGGCCGAAATCCGGGGAGCTCTTTGTGAGGCGATGGGATACCAAGATGCATGGCACACCACAATGAAGTATGGTCTCTTGTTTAAGGAAAACCTTGGTCCGGCCCTGCTCATGGTTGGTGCACATAGCTTATCGTGGAAAAAGGTGTTGCGAGGATGCAGCATGGAGGATGAGGATAAGTAAAAATAATAAACTTAGGGTGGGTATTAACCATTTTGACGCAGCATATATAAACAAAACAGATAGCATGGAAAGCCACGTCATTTAGCCATTGTTGCTTACGATCGATATCATTTGGGTGGTTGTGACGCTGGATTTTGTGTTCTTGAACCGACTCTGAATTTGAAGCAATCCATGAAGCACTATTTAAGAATGATATCAGAAGTTGAACGTCTGCTTTTCACTCACCTATGAAAGGATAAAAGGATGATGAAGTTGTTAAGAAGCATTTGGAAGTGAAACCGAGACTAATGATCCTCGCATGCTGCTCAGGGGATGAGCCTTCCTGTGCTGCCATCTACATAAAGAGAGCGTTCCGTGTCGTTGAATTACCTAGATGTGAAACTAACCTCGTGCAGAGTACAAGGATTTGTAATTCACCCCGTTTTCTTCTTAGCATGCGTACTGGAGCACGCGGAGGCATATACATATATGCATATACATAGGGAGTAAACCACAAGGAAAAATTATTTGAAATTAACCTAAGATGTGAAACTAACCTCGTGCAGTGTGCAAGGATTTGTAATTTCATCCCGTTTTCTTCTCAGCATGCGTGCTGGATCACGCGGAGTCTATTGTATATCCATATGGAGCACAGCACAAGAAAACATAAACGTGGGCCAAAAGCTGTGTGATACGGCCCCCAATTGAGCATTTATTAGTCCGTCCTGTCCACTGATTTACTACGAAAGTGTTCCGTGTTTGACGATGTATATTATTTTATGTCACTGACCGATTATCGTGAGGACGTTAGGCGAACGATGGCTCGACGCGAACCGACGACTGAAAGCGTTGCTGTGTAGCAGCGCCGTGGCCAAATCCCAGCAGCGGGTCTTTAATTTATGTCATGCACTGATGTTGATGATGCTCTTCGATCAAAACCTGAAAAATCATTTTAGCACAGGCAACCCAGAACTTCGTGAATTTCCAGAACTGTGCAAAGTAACATGATATCAACTCAATCGTCTCTGCATGCCCGCAAAACACGAACAGAAGTCCCAGCATCGGTCGGTCCATGCAGTGGCGACACGCTATTGCAGTTTGGCCTTGGCGACACTCAAAGGTGTCCAATGTCTAAACATTTTCCCTGTGCGAGCAGTGTGCGACTCTCCTGACAGAGCTCATACTAGCATTGTGCGATAGCCAGCGTTGCCGCTGGATGGCAGCATTGTTTTGGTTCCTTTCCTGATATGTCTATATAAATAGATAAATAAATACAAAAATATATATACACATGTATACACATATATATATATACTTACACACACACACACACACACACATATATATATATATATATATATATATATATATATATATATATATATATATATATGAACGTATAGTCCATTCTTTCGTTGACCCATACATACAAGTATTAAAAAACAAGCCTCCTATATATTGCTACCTTCCATCCCACAAACCACTAAATCATGGCACGGGAGGGGGGGGGGGTGTTAGCCAGTGCTGCTTGATACAACAAAGGTGCACCCGCAATTTTGCGCAATAAAAATGTCGGATGCTAAAATGCTGAAAAAATCCTTCTCCGCCCAAATGGAATTAAGTCGGGGGGGGGGGGAGGGGGTGCTGAGATCAGGGCATCAGCAAGTGAGAGTTGAATTTATAGGCTACTTGGGAGGAGGTGGGGTAGCTGGTTCGGGCATTCCTGCTACTGCCACGTCGTCTCCTCCACCCATTCCTGGAAGCAACGGCAGCGCAGTGGTGATTGTTAGCGTTGACGCTCGTGGTAAGCAGGTGCACGGGTGGCCTGCCGGCCGCGCCGCTGACAGCGGCGGCTGCTCGGCATGCGCCACTCGCGGTCCAGCGGCGCGCCCGGCACCGTCACAGACCGACCTGCGGCCGGCGGGCCGGGCGGTCGCCGCCGCCGGCCTGCAGGGTATTTCTGTCCGTCTCTCCCCTCTCTGTTTACGGCGCCGGGATGGGCTGGCGGCCACTGACCGGGCCTGGCCGGACGGTAAACACCAGTCAGCGGCCCCGTAAAAAGGCGCCGAGCTCCGGTTACGCGCTGGGGTGTCCCCGGCCGGCCATGGGAACGGCGCCCTGTCGCCGGCCGGCCGGCCGCGGCCCGGCGGGACGGCTGGCGGAGGGCGGCCGTGATCAGCTGGCGCCTGGCGGTCGGTAGCGGTCCGCCGCACCGTAACACCAACACGCGATGTTAATACGTGCGAATGAAGCTGCTTGTGGCTCAGCGTGGTGACACCTAGGTGGTTGCATGACAGATGTGGAGCGGGGAGTGATGGATAGAGGCCTAATTTCGTTTGTAATGTGATAAAGTCAGGTTATGTGTTGAACGGGCCGACGAAGTCCCGACCCACGCAAGGGCTGTGGGTTGGTGTTTAAGGACAACCTTCTGTGGAGGCCTCTTCGTGAGGGTTGCCCGTCACTCACACATATCAGTGGCAGCCTGCGTTGCTTTGTCTGTTCTATGTAGACACCGCTGCTGATGTGTCTTCTGAACATGCGGTCCACAGCCTTCTTCGATCTTACATACGTATGATACTTTGTAGACCATTTATGCCCAATTATCACGCTGAGTATTTGCAATTCATGAAAACGCAATTCTAATGCAATTCATGAAAAATCTGATTCATGGACATTCCATTCGAGGGCGAGATTCTGACCCCCTTCCCCAGGTTCAGTCATGTCTATGGAAGGGGCATGCCTGGAGCTCTACCCCAAAAAACCAGAGCGCTGTCGCCGGCGTCTGCTGCAGCTAACGACGTCAGCAGCGCAGCGCCTGCGGCCCACTGTTGACTTCCGCCCCGCGTCCCATTTTTCAATGAATGCGAAAAAGGTCGCCGAGTCGGCGAACTGTGACGCCACGCCAACACAAACCACCGACAGCGTCACAACAGACGGGCCGCGCCGCGCCGCAGCAGCTGCCCGGGACCGCGGCAAAACCGACGCGCCGTTATTTGTTTTCTTCTTCTGGCCGGGCGCCTCGCTCGCTGATTAGTCCGTTGTTTTTCCCGGCTGCAGCGCCGTTGCGCCGCTTCATCGCCTGAGCTATCGCCGCTTCCCACAGGCGGCCGTCCCAGGGCGGGCGCCGGAGCGGCTGAGCAGCATTGCGCGGGCTTTCGTCGGTGCTCTCCCCGACGGTGTGGACGAGGGCTGTGGCGAGCAGAGGGCGCGAACTCGGCCCGGCCCAGCACGACCCCAGTCCGGTGCTCGGCAGCTGTCCTGGCCCAGTAAAGGACGGGGCAGCCTCCAGCGGCTTCAGGCGCTGTCGGGGTCAGTCGGTCGACGACTCGGCCGCGCTGGACGCGCGGCCGTCTGGCCAGGCCCCGCAGAGCGGCGCGTCACGGTCAGCGGTCATTCCTGAGGGGCTGCAGGGCGCATCCCCGCCGGAGGAGGACGCAGGTTACCGGCCGCCGCGGGACGGAGCCAGGACGCCCGATGCCACCACCAAAGGACGCGGATGGCCTGGTCTCACCCTTTGAAGGGATAGTGCCCACATTGATCCCTAGGCGAAAAGGATGACAGCATCTGCGGGCGGGGATCATGAGGTCCAGCGGCGTGCCGCTAGAAAGGTAGGAGCAGGGCCAGAAGTGGGACTAAGGGAGCAGAGCCGTGAGTGAAGCCAAGGGGCCATGTCCCCTCCCCCTGAGTCAAGAGGCTTACACAGAATACTGGGCGATTTTTTTCAGGAATTTAGTTCAACTTTGCAGCATTATGGAAACAATTTGAGATCCTCCTTAAATGAAAGACCTGCATAGAAAGCCGGAACAGGTCCAAGGGATGCAGCGCCAAAACATCGCGTGGGATGATCCCGATGTCTATAGACAATAACCCGATATAAGACGATCGGCATGTCAAAATAAAAGAAAAACATGGCTCTTAAGGGAGAAGCAACACCACAACATTAAGCGTCACCCCTTAACCGCGTTTCGTCCATTTGGAAAGTTGATGTCCTCCACATCTCCTAGCGTGACCTTGTGTACCGCGGCGTTCGGCGCGCGGCGTCTCGTCTCTCGACCCGTTCGGCGCGTGGCGTCTCGCCTCCCAGCCGTTCGGCGCGTGGCGTCTCGTCTGCCAGCCGTTCGGCGCGTGGCGTCTCGTCTCCCAGCCGTTCGGCGCCCAGCCGTTCAGTGCGTGGCGTCTCGTCTCCCAGTCGTTCAGCGCGCGGCGGCCGTCTCTCCAGCCGTTCGGCGCCCAGCCGTTCGGCGCGTGGCGTCTCGTCTCCCAGTCGTTCGGCGCGTGGCGTCTCGTCTCCCAGCCGTTCGGCGCGTGGCGTCTCGTCTCCCAGCCGTTCGGCGCGTGGCGTCTCGCCTCCCAGTCGTTCAGCGCGCGGCGGCCGTCTCTCCAGCCGTTCGGCGCGTGGCGTCTCGCCTCCCAGCCGTC